GAGCACAGTCATACCTGAAGCAGGAGAGAAGCAGAAGCCCTGCCTGCTTCAGGTACCAGAAAAACTCAAAGGGCCCATTGGTGGGTTTCTTTGCTTGGTCCTTGCTTTTGTTTGGTGGGTTTGTTATTTTAATGAGAGGTCTAATTCACTGAGAGTCTGCAAAGGACGGACTGTCAAAGCGCGTAAGAGCCTGGGTGGGGCCTCTCTCATCTCCCAACCCGAGTCCAATGGCAGAACCCATGGCTCTGGACCTGTGCTCTCATGGAGGCCGAAGAACCTGGCCACACTTAGTGCGAGTTCAGAATCTTCAGGTCAGCTCAGTGGAGCACTGTGACTAATCTTAGACCTACTTTCACTGGGATGCATCCCCTTGGCTATAAAAATGGTACCTGGAGCAAGAAATACCAACCTCAACATGCAGTCTCCCTATGGCCCCCTTGTTCCAGCCAAGTACAGCAGCCCACTCCCAAATCAGTTCCCCGGGCATTTTCTCTTAGAGTTGAGCCAGAAGCCAGAAGCCAGAAGCCCCCACCCCCCGCATTCTCCACAAAGAGCCCGAAGCAAGCTCAGTCCTCACACCAGGGCCAGGCCCCCAGGTGGGGTACATGCACAGACATGGCAGAGGGGAAGGCTATCCGGGAGTCACTCTCACTACTAAGATGGGAGTCCAAGCCAAAAAAAAAGCAAAAGACAAGGTAGGTGGGGGTGGGGAGGGAAGAAAAGAAAGTAAGGGGAAAAAACAACTATGATGGTTTGCCCTCATGGGTAAGACAGGTCAGCCAAGACATACCTTTTGACTAGGCCCGCACAGCCGGTCACTCTTGGGACTGCCAACAAGGTGGGTGGTCTTCTCCATCCCCCGGGGGCCTTGAGCAAGTGTGGCTTTGGTTTATTTCAGGAGATGCTATTGGAAACATAAAACAAAGTGCCTGGCGGGGCACTATAAAAAAATAGGGTACGGAAGGACTTGATCATCCAACGGGAATTTATATGTTTGTAAAGAGGGACGCGGGGCAGGGACATGTACTTCAGCTGTCGTTCTTTCTTCCAAGAGCAAGCTCGGGTTGCTGAGTCCACGGCTCTCTGCTTACGTTCCGTTCCTGCATTTGGAAATTGCTCTTCACCAGGAGGAAAGTGAGGAAAAAAACAGCAACCACCGAAGAGTGGAGAAGAGGAGCCCAGCAGACGCTGCTGGGGGGGCCTGGTGCTGGAGGGAGGCCACACAGCAGCCAGCACTTTCCAGCAACTGCTGATATTTTCTCACAAGCAGGGAGGGAGGAAGCCGGAAAGGTCAGGGATGAGAAATGGGGAGGGGGCCTGCCATGGGGAGGCAGACACTCCGTGGGGTATACAAAGTGCAATCATCTCCCACCGAAGAACTCCTCCTGCCCTTGAATCAATCCTCCCCCAGCGGCTTCCTTCTAAATCAATGTCTCCGATTTCCCTTCTCTCTCTCTCTCTCTCTCTCTCTCTCTCTCTCTCTCTCTCTCTCTCAAAAAAAAAAAAAAAAAAAAAACAAGTCAGTTTCTAATAATAGTTAGAATATATAAATAATAATTTATTTAACATAATTGGTTCTTTGTTTCCAAACCCAATATTCCTCCTCTCCTCGTTTTGCCAATAAATAGGAACACTGAGAAAATCAACTCTGCTCACGTCAAAAAAGATGCCCTCCCCGCAAGAGACAATTCGCCTAACTTCTCATTGCTCTGGAAAATAAATAGTACATCGTGAGGCCATCTCTCGGAAGGACTAGTTTGCTCTTTTGTTCTGTTGTGTTTCAGTAGTTTGTGCTTCTGCTGTACATACTCAGAATCGAGGGCCGGGGGGGGGGCGGGGGGGGGTGCGTGGAAGGCAAGAGGAAAAAGCAAGGATGAGGGGGGAAATCTAAGGTTGTCTTTCATTTTTTTTTTTTTTTAAATGCATCAGAACCAGAACAATGACCAAGTCAGAGGGTGATGGCTAATTGCCCAGAGAGTCCATTCATGGGTTTAGCAACTGCCCTTTCTGTCCGCTGTGGGCGAGCCCTGGCCACTGCGGCGTCCTCGGCAGGAGTGAGGCTCTTCCACATCGTCCTCATCAAAGCCGTGGAAAGTTGAGGTGTCACTTTCTGATGTGGAACCGAATAAGTCCTCCGTGGTGCGTGCTGCAGCCGCTGCCTCCTTCTCCTTCCTGCCTTCTCTTCCCAAATGAGCTGACATGTATGATGAATATATCAGCACATGGGTTAAGCAACAGACAGCATTATTAATATTCTTATTATATCATTACAATGTTATGCCTCATAAGCAAGATCATAAACCATTTGCACCCAAAAGAGATTTACTGGGTGCACCACCTGGTGACAGAGATTTGGGGTAAAAGGACAAAGCCATCATTTCCAGGGAAAAGGATGCCTCCCTCCCTGAAAAGGCATCATCGCTACCATAACATGTGTGTCCACCGCACTGAACATAAGTGATTCCCGTGAGATTTCTTTCTTCTCTTCTGTATGCGAGCAGAAACACTTGCACGCGCGCGTGCGCACACACACACACATACACACACACACACACACACATTCAGCCCTACCCCAGACAATGAGTTGACTTGGTGGGTGTTTAGCCCGGCTGGTGTTTCTTTGGTGTTTTCCATGGGTGTTTCATGCACAGTGTGTGTCCTTCACTTTGACAGGCAGCTCTGCAAAGGTATTACTGTCAGATAACCCGTTCCAGGCGGTTAAGCCTCCATCTGCTTTATTTTTATTTTTACCTGTGTCTAATCCCCCTCTTTCAGTACCCTTTCCATTCTGCCCTTACACCATGTGGCTCTTTGCACTGAAAGCAAAAAGAAGCTGAAAAGTCTCTCATTTTCTTTAACCACTGGAGGACATATCTGTGATCTGTACCCATATACATGTGCTCACAGATACATATATGTGCACCCATGCACATGCACGTGCATACGCGCACACACACTCCAGCCACGACACACGCCCAGGTCTTTGTTACCCCAGGAAGTCCAGAGTTATCAAATCTAACTCAGAGCGCTAAGAGAGTGAAAAAATAGGGGTTATCTCCTGGAATTTGCACAACTCAGGTTTAAACAGTTTACCTTCTAAATGGGCCCCAGGATTACCCCCAAATAAGGTCATGATATGCCAGTTATGGTGCCAGGATCAGGAGTCTAATTTTCTCCCCAGGAAACAGGAAGTGGGATAGACTGGGAGGGAAAGAAAGCTCTTCCAAGCTCCACACTCTTCCTTGGAAAAACCCCAGGAGGCCCTGGGGAAGTATTTGCCCCCCTGACTTAGCAAGCACATCCCATGGGTTAATGCACCTGTTTATTCCCAAGGTATCAACTATTTCAGGAAAATCAGACGCAGACCTGGACCAAATTAGTCACCAAAGTTAATCCTTGGCAAATGCAATGAGAACACCTAGGCTGGTATAAAATGGTCCCCTGAGTCACACAGCAGACAGATCCTGGGAAGAAAAAGCTGAGTAAAAGGCTGTGAAGAAAAAGGGTTTGGATAGGAAAAAACCAACTGCCCACATCTGGTCCCCCATGAATCAGATTCAAGTACCTCATCTCTGAAGGGAAGGAAGGGAAGGAAGTAGTTTGTGATGAGGATCCTGGAGCTGCCCTCTCTAGCGCGTCCCCCGCGGTCCACATCCTTCTGCCTACAGCATCACACCAAGCGACTTCGCTTCGGACGGTCGTCCATTTTAAAAATACTGCATTGAATTTTACTTGTTCCATTTTCCCTTTAAGTATCTAAAACCCAGAATCCGCTATCACACAAGCCCTTTTCTAAACTGGCACCAGGAGAGTAACAAGTTTGACTTTCGATATCATGTTTGCAAAGTAGGTGAGCTGACAGCATTGCAGATGGGCCACCCTGTCAGGGCCCTTAAGTGTCCATTGTTGAGAACTGCACACAATGGAAGCCACTCCTTTTTACATTACCGATTTGCTTCTCAAGTCAGTCTTGAATCTAAACAACCCAAAAGCCACATGAAAGAAAAAAGGACTAAAGCTAAGCTTTGTGGTACACCCAGGTGTGGTCACCTCGGCCCCATTCTTGGAAGTAAAAGTAGAAAGGACACGGGGAAGCGTGTGGAAGGAGCAGTGCCTCCTCCGTGCTGGATCCAGTGTCCAACTGAACTGCACCTCACCTACAAGAGCCTGTAGTGGAGGAGACTAAACACGGGTCTGAAATCTCTCTTTGGCCTAGTTATGATATAAAAATCTACGAAAAGTTGGTAGTACAACCAACCACACCCAGCCAAAGGTAACAGTTTGGTTAGAAGTAAAAAACCATGGACAGCTTCAGCAAAACTTGAAAACCTGAATTCATTTTAGGAATGAAAGAACAGGATCAAAGTCTTCCTTTATTTTAGTCTTTGGAGAGATTAAAAATGAAAACTTCAAAAGAGCCCAAGCCAACTTCACATTAGCCCTCAGAACACTGCCCTTTTGTCTCCTTCATCCATCAGGGTCTCTTTTCTGGTTCCTTATGAGAAAATGGGGTGAGCGACCAATGGATGCGATATTTGTGCCACCACCAAGGAGCGCAGGGGTCTCTGACACCCACACCTCAAACTGTGGCTGCTGCCCCCCTATTCGTGTTTCCGTGTCTTCCGGTTCCCCCCGGGCACTCCCGCAGAACAGATGCAGCTTTGTGTTACATGTGCTGCGCCCGCTACAGGAGAGTGCTGCCCGTGTCCCCAGGTGTTCCCACGCTATCTCACAACAACACACACCAAGAAACACCCACTTCATGAAAAGGCCAAACCCAGGACCAAAATGTCTCCCTTCCCTTTTCCCTGGCTCCCAAGGCATGATTTCTTGAGATCCAACGTAGGAAACTATCCAGTGACCTGAAAACGCCTCTGTCCTTGGAATCATCGCCACCAACCACTTCCCCGCTCCGCCCTCCGCCCCAGGGAGGGTGGCCGCAGTGCAGGGGGGACGGCCGCTGGCCTGTGGGCAGGGGTGCAGGAAGGGGCCGCACTCACCAGAGCGTCCACAGTCTGCACAGGACACCAGCTCCTCAGGCCGCCCGCTCTTCTTGTTCATGTTGGAGCCTCCCAGGCAGAAGTCACAGTAGTTATTAGGAATGACTGTCCCATCTGGACCTTTCTGGGCTGTAGAAACATTTTTTTTTAATTGAATTTTAGACTGAGATGCATTTCTACTGCCCCCTCTTCTCCCACAGTCTGGCAAAATCTGGTCCCGAAAAATAAAAGATGAAGTTTAGAATCTGAGGTTCTGTTATGACCACGCTGTTAACTTGGGCTGCCTTCTTTTTGACCCTCCTCGGTTTAATAGTATCCGTGTTTCCTTGGCTGGTGTGGCTCATTTGGTTGAATGTCATCCTATGCACCGAAAGATCCTCAGTTCGAATCCCAGTCAGGGCATATGTCTAAGTTTCGGGTTTGCTCCCTGGTCAGGGGATGCATACAGGAGGCAACCAATTGATGTATGTCTCTCTCTCTTTCTCTCATCAATGTTTCTCTCTCTCCCTTCCTCTCCCTCTAAAATCAATAAAAATATGTTGTAAAAAAAATAGTATCAATGTTTTGCAAGCTACCCTGTTTATTTTTATTGTTGCAACGTTTCCCAGCTCTGCATTTTAGAACAAGCCTGCTCCTCTGATTGCATCCCTGGATGAGCACAGCATCCAGAAGGCCTGCTAATCAAGTGAACTGCTCTCATCCCCAAACAAGCAGCTCTCAGGGCCAAGGCCCCAGATAGCAGATGGCAGTCATAAACAGTGGTGTGACGAGAGAGAGAGAGAGAGAGAGAGAGAGAGAGAGAGAGAGAGAGAGAGAGAGAGAGAGAATAGCCAATGCTTAGGCCTTGCCCTTCAGAGAGATGCTTTTGTTTAGGAGACAGTCCTACCATCCTGAAAAGGAAAACAAAGCGGCATTCATTTCCAGAGAGGACACTGAAGATGCGCTTGGGGACTTTGAGGAACATCTTGGCAGGTACATAGGTGTTCGCTCTTGCTCCGCTGTCTCTCCCTAAAGTCCAGGACTAGACAATCAGCAGACCCCAAGTACCTAGAATCAGACTGGACACTTAGCTAAGCCTCAGGCCAAAGATGGATTGAAAAGTGAGTTAGTGAGTGTGCCTGGAGGCTTAAGATTCTCATAAGCCACCCGTGATGAAAATTCCATCCAAACACAAAGAAAAATCTTGGGACACGGTCTTAAAACAAACCCTTATGAAAACAGCCCTGTCCTCAAGCACTGATAGCATTCTCAGCTTCTACTGCCTGGTGTCAAGCCTTACACAGGTTCTTTGCCACCTCAGGAGACACTCCCCCATTTCCCTCGGTTTTTCTGGTCCTTTCTCTGGACATTTCTTTGTCACATCAACACTCCCTGTCTGTGAGTAGAAAGAAAAGTCTCTCCATTTATGGGATCAGCCTAAACCACGGGGGCATCTTCCTCCTCGCTAAACCCAATGTCTGCTATCTTTCATTATTCACTGGCTAACATTAATCAGAGTCCCGTAGGGTACGAAGCTGTAAAAGGAAGCAGATATGTGAGCAGAAATACCATCCAGACAGTAAGTGATAAACAGATTCACCCACTTTAATGTGATTCCCTCTGGCCTTTGCTTCCTCCATGCCTCTGCTTTGCCTCCAGGAATAGAAAAACTTACCTGGCAAAGGCAGAAGACAAAAGCTTGCAGAATTGCATTAGAGAGGGTTAATCCATTTATCAGTTGCTATTTGGATTGCTTAATCAGTTTCTAAGTCATTGATTTTCATCTTCAGGGAGGCAGACACAACTCTGCAAGGGAAGCGTTGTCTGTGTGGGGTACAGAGGAGCCCGCTGCACCCTGCGACCTGCTGGGTGTCGCTTTTCCTTCATCAGCCTCTGTGTGTCAAAGGCATCTGCGTGTCATGCAGATTGGCTTTGCAAACCGCCAAAAACCAATACATCTGCCTATAAAATTTCCGTTGTCCAACTCCAGAAGGAAGTCCCTTTCTTCCTTCTCTCTCAGTTGCCATCTTAACCATTTCTGGAACTCTCTTAAGAAAGCCAGGCACATCCAAGAAGCAAGTAAATTCAGTGTTTCCTGCTATCAAAAAAAAAAAAGAAAGAAAAAAAAAGTGGGGAACATTAAATGTAAGGGCTGAGCGTAAACAAAAGTGAAATTTCAGGATTGGTATGAACTAGATATAAAAAGTGGAGATGCCAGTTACAGCTTAGATAGCTTCCCACATAAAAATCAAATAATCTCACGTGTATCATTTCACAAAAACTCTCAGGAGGCCCTATCTCACCATTTGTCTCTCTCCTGTTCTCTTAGAGACCTCTTATGATGTCAGATTTTTTTCTGCCTTTTCACAAAATCTTTAAGCAACCAAAGAAGCTGGTTGTCTCCAACCCACTGTATCACTTGTGACTTAAGAGGAGGAAGAAGTAAAGTATAGAACATAAGAACTCCCAGATAATCTTTTAGTTTTTACCCCCAGCAGACCATTGGTAGATCATGCGGACCATGGAATCAGGGACTCCAATATAGCAAGAAATTAAAAAAATTCAGAAATGATCTTAGTAGAGCAAAGAAGACAATGATGGGGAAATTGATCCTATATAAAAAGACCAAAGGAACAGAATTTAATTCATCTGATGAAGAGAAATTTCTGAGAAGACCGAATCAGAACAGCGTCAACACATATTTTGGTGTTGGTTACTGGCCACAGGAAGTGCCAGGCCCAGGAGGTGAAGAGGTGCTATAATCTTTGTAGGCCCTGAAGTATGCAGTGGTGACATGCTAGAAGTGGGCGAGGGAGGGGCTGTATTTTATTAGAACAATGACCCAGGATAGGAAGTGATACTGAATGGTTACACTTCATTTCCAGCAAAATCCTTTCTGCTTCAGTTCCTTCTGTCTTCTCATGAGCACAAAGCTTTCTTCCATCTTGGTGACACGGCATAGAGTAGACTCATCGAGAGCCTTTGCATCTGGTTCTCCTACGCTTTTTGGTATTTAGGATTGGTTTCAGGGGGAGAGTTCTCCCGTGGAGCTCTCCCAGTTCCCCAACCAGGCTTTGGGGAGGGCCCTCTGCTGACACTTCCATGGGTGCTTCTCTTGCTTCTGCATGTGTATACCTGCCTCGTCTCCCCTATTCAATGTTCCACTCCTTCAGGTCAGGGACCATGTCAAACACCTCTGAACACCTATGGGCCCGTGCACAGGAAATGGTTAACAACATGTGGGATGAAGGGCTCAGAAAAGAATGGCAGCGATGTAACAGGCAGCACAGTGATACCACCCCCGGGACTTCCCAGCAGGGACAGAGCACTGGGTTTGCTTTCCCTGGGGCAGAGTTATCTGTTGCTCTGAATATCATTCACTGCCTGGTTTATTTCCCTCATCCTCAGAGCAGAGCTGGTCCATGTCCGGAGAGATTGGTTAGTCATCTCTAACTCCCAGAGAACACAGGGGCGGGTAGCTGAGAGCCCTGGGTTGCAGCAAGAATAACACCGGGCCCCTGCTATGGTGGGAGAAGCACCATCTTACATGCAAACACCCAAGGAAAGTTTGTCTCTTGAGAAGGGGACACTAGGATGCATCTGCCCACTCAGCCTCCCTCTTGTTCAGTTGCTTTTCGAGAAGAAAAAGCAGCAAGCATTTAGTACACAACAAAACTGTGATGGATCTTACGCTGGGTGCTTTGCATATGGTATTTCATGGATTCTCACACAAAAATCTGTGACGTAGGGATTATTTGACAGATGAGGTAACTGAAGTCCAGAGATGACGGGCTGGCTCCAGGGTTCACCTCCAGGTTGTCTGGGTCCCGGGAGACTCTCAGCCTATAACCTGCCTCCTGGGAATTCCAGACGCAAACACTTTCTGACCCGTGGTTGCATCTAAAATACTTCAGAAATCTCTGCGTGAACTTGGTTCATCTAACCCGTTATTTAGGAATTCCAAAGCAATAAAAGTTGAAGTTGGCCTGGTAAAAGCGGAAATTCCCTTTGAACTGAAACTTAATGTCCCTCTCACAGGGATCCATCCTGGTGACCCTGCTAACTGTGATATGCTCTGCAGAAAAAAACACTTCTGCGGAGAGTCCAGTGGCCCGGGAAGAGATTTTTTTAAAGTAAAGCTCACACCATGGCTTTGTTGGCCTCTGGCCTGACCCAGGGTGAGCAATTTCCTGGTACTGTATATGAGATCATTAGTAAAAGGATTTTACTATAAATAGGAAGCTTGCCCAGACCTTGCAAGTGGGATTTAAATAGAGATTCTGCCCCTGCTTATGGGAAATTGAGTCCCACTTTATAGAATAAGATGACAGTGAGGCAAAGGCCGGAGTGGTATCTTGATGGCAGCGCCCGCAGTGATGGACTTGGTTTTCTGTTGATTAATGTTCATGGGCTGAGATCATATAAGAGATACAAGGAAGCTTCTGAGAAAATAAAGTCAAGAACAAAAGTTCCGGGTTGGGGGGGTGGTGACTGGGTGAGGGGATTGGGGGGAGGAACTAGAAGGTGGAGGAAGCATTCATATAAATCAAACCAAGAGAAAGAACAGTCAAGCCCCAAGTGTCCCACCACGCTCAGGAAGGTTACACAGTTGTTCTGGAAAATGCACACTACGGGGTTTTCTACCTCAATCAGGCCACGTCTGTGGCAATCACGGCCCCATGCTTCCACAGAACTACCACCCAAGCAGCTGCCTTTCTCCAGTTCCACCTGATCTCCGCTGTGAAATGCCTGCCACGCACGAAGGAAAGGGTGGCCGGGACAGTCTGGCCATCAGCAACAGCCCCTCATCCAGCTCTTCCAAGACCTGAACTCCGTCCCAAGTGTCTTAGGGCAAACTAACTGGTCAACAGAGCCAAATATCAACAGTACAACGATTGAAATTCCTTTTGAGAGCCAAATTTTTTAAACTTAAACCCTATAGGTAGGTACATTGTTATTAATTTAATTAGGGTACTCCTTCAATCGTACTGTACGTGTGTTCCCGAACAAGGTATTTTGTGGGAGAGCCACACTCAAGGGGCCAAAGAGCCTCATGTGGCTCACAAGCCACGGTTTGCCAACCACTGTCCTAGGGAAACAGGAAGCAAGACAGCTTAGGCTGCTCCAGGACACATCCACAACAGCGTGAC